TATTTTTTCACTGTATTTATTTATTTATGTATGTATTTATTATATTCTCTGTCTGTCTGTCTGTCTCTCTCAGAATGTAAGGTAGCAGACAATAAATAAAACACTATGGTGTCTTCACCTTTGTCTTACCTAATTTCCCGCACTAGATGGTAAACTCCAAAAAGGTGAGGGTGATCTGGCTGCGACATCTGTCACCCCCTTGATCGCCAGGGTTGATTCGGCTGATCTGGCTGGCTAGGCACCTCCCTCACAGCTAAATGTACTGTCCTCCCGAAGCTGGCGCCCCTGCTAGAACCTCCAAACAAGCTCTCAAAAAGGCAGCAATCCTTTTCACCATCACTCTCAGGGTTTTTAAGAGGGCAGGTGTTTATGCATTTTTTTTTTTTTTATGTGCATGCCTTTAGGCGGGACATGCCTCTCCATTCACCACAAGCCCCACTGATTCTATTGTCATAAGAAAACACACCCACTGACCTCCAGGACTCCATCAGAATTGGGTTTTGCCAACTGCATGCTGCCTAGAGCAGGCCCTCATTCAATCTTCATCAGAGGGATTGTCACCAGGTTGGGTAAAGCACAGAACAAAAGGGACACTGTGTTTCCTTAGATGGCCTCAGGCCTGCCTTTACCAGGAGCAGGAGCTTCCTGGTGCTTGGTGAGTTCTTTCAATGCACCCAGCATATTTGGTCTCACCTGGGAGACTGTGACCTCTGGAGGGCAGCATCCAGTCTCTCTGCCTGTCTTCTCTCTCCCACTTTTTTTTTTTTTTTAAAAAGATTTATTTATTTATGCATGCAATAACTGGGATGTAAGCCCGAGATGCAGTGGGTGAGAGGTTTCAACAGAGAGTGTTATAGGGCAGCCCCGATATGGAGCGGGTTGCTTGGCTGTGGGTCCTCACCCACGCGCTTAAAAAGGACTTATTAATACTCCACTACAAGCACACACAAAAGGTTAATAAAAGGTTTATTTACAAGGGAAAAGGAAATAAGGAAAATGTACAACTCAGGGAGAAAATAGGGAAATAAAGTCTTTAATGCGTCCTACCCGATCCGACGACCTGGAAACCCAAAGGCACTCTCAGCGCTGGCCAGACGCTGCGAGCTGGTGGAGAGTCAAAATGGGGGACCCCTCCAAAGCCCACGTGTCTGGCTTTATACCAACCTGGCTGCTTAACCCCACCCTCAGGTCCCAGCCACCTTCCCTTTGGTGGATGGGATTTCGAGTTCCCAGTGTCTTTGGCTTTGGCCTGGGGTGGGGGTGGAGTCCACAAAGCTTGTATGGAATTAGCTTTAGGACATCCTTTTCCTCCTAACAAGAGTAGGGAACAGAACAGGCAGATCTGAAATATGAGGGGAGCAGTGGGTGAGGCAGGAGGGGTCTGCTGCACCATGTGTGTTGCTCCTGGCCAGTGGGGATGGATTTTGTGCTGCATTGGCTGCAGATAGCTTGATAGCTCTGTCTTTAACCCCTGCGTTACCAGGGAGGCCTCCTTTCCCGCTTTCTAATCTCCAACTCTCCCTTGGAACTCCCCATTCCCACCCAACCCAACAGCTCATCAAATTCAACCACTTAATTAGGTTTTAGTCAGCCAGTCAGCTTAGAAACCTGGGTAGAAAGTCTCATAAAGAAGACAATGCTCTCTCAAGGAAGAGGCCTCTGTTCCTGGAAAACCAAGTCTCACAGGAAACAGGAAGTGTACTGTGTTAGGAGTGGGAAGGGCTGGGGGCAGGAACATTGTGGTAGGGGTTTGGGGAAGTAATCTTAGACCAGAAGATAGGTCCTGACACCATGGTAAAGAATTTCCTACAGAACCTCCCTGGTGTTGCAGGGGTTAAAGTCTCAGCGCTATCAAGCTGTAGACAGCCACTGCGGCATGAGTTCAATCCCTGGCCAGGGAGCTAACTCACATGGCGCAGCAGACCTCTCCTGTCCTGCCCACTGTTCCCCTCAGTAGTGTATTTCAGTCAATCTGCCTGTTCTGTTCCTCACTCTGTCTCTAGTGAGACCTCCCCCACCCCCACCTTTGATCCACACCCCAGTTCTTGTATGCATAAATAAATAAAAATAAATCTTTTTTAAAAAGAATGTCCTCCAGACATAGGGGTATAACATGATCACACCTATATCATATGAGCAGATTTCCTGGGGCTGCTCTGTCTCCAAACTCTTCCCCTCACTCCTCCACCCCTGCCCCTACCCTCCTCCCTCTGGACCCATTGCTCCTGTCATAAAGAAGTTCCCAGTACCTGCCCTTGAGATTGCACATGGCACCTTCCTTATTGGGTGACTGCAGTGTGACCAAAGGATCTGAGAGGCGGGGCAGGGCCGAGCAGCAGACACCCACCATTTACCACCATCCCATCTGCTTGTGCCCAAACAACACGTTCTCCAACCTGAGCTGGTTGGACTAGCTTGGGTGGGACTGGAGGGCTCAGAGGATTAGCACATCAGTCCCAGCCTTGAATGAAGCACATTCCATAGTCAAGTCAGTAGGGTGTGGTGCACCCCGGCCTCTTCCGACTCCTTTCACAGAGGAGTGTGTGCGTGTGTTACAAAGGGAAAAGCACGCTGCGTGCCCAACCAGGACCTGTCACTCCTAACCAGCTAAGCCCTACGTTAGACCTCCATGGTGCCTCCTTCATAGAACTTTCTGTACTCATACTTCCTCACTAGGTTCTGTTTACCTTCTGCACACGACACCCGTTCCGGCACCATCTCATAATGGGGAAGACAAGATGAGGAAGGGGAAAAGGGGAAATCCCATTAGGACTGGGAAGCTGGTGCTGGCGCCAACTCTGCTTTCTAAGGGCAGGACATCTGGAGTCACCCTGATGTATTGCTCAGAGCCGCAAAGCAAGTGGCCTGGGCCTCCGAAACATTTACAGAGGAAAGTGCCCCAAGCTAACATAATCACCACTGCTAAGCTGAATGTAAAATATATAGTCATTGTAAAAATGTTTTAAAATTCCAAAGCAAACAACAGTCTCAGATCACGCATTATACCTCTCCATAAAGGTAATAAAAACTGACTTTCCATTTTTTTCTTATGCCTACCAAGGTTTTAATTTTTTTAAAGATTTATTTATTTATGCATACAAGAACTGGGGTATAGCCAGAGGTACGGGGTGGGCATGAGAGGATTCATCAGAGACAGAGTGGGGAACAGACCAGGCAGACTGACTGAAATGCACTGTTGAGGGGAGCAGCGGGCGAGATAGAAGAGGTCTGCTGCACCATGTGGGTTAGCTCCCTGGCTGGGGATCAAACTCATGCTACAGGGGCTGCAGAGTGCTTAATGGTGCTGCAACATAACCCCTTGCTCCCCTAGCACTGTCACAGTACTTTCTAGTAAGTGTGTTTATTTCTATTTCAAGCTCTCTCACCTGGTAATAAGGTCTTTGAGAACTAGGTTCTGTTTAATTGAGCTGTGTCTCCAGTGTCCACTTTCATCTGGCACATAGAAGATACTCAATAAACGCCTTGCAGAGAAGCAAAGTTTAATCAACTCTTATTGTCAGGCATTTAGGTTGATCCTAATTGATGCAAAGAGCCATGTTCTCATACTCTATGTTGACTGAGTGAGTCAACAAAAGTCTTGTTAGGGTCATCTGTTGGGATGACCTATAAATAAATCTTTGTCTGAATCCAACTCTTTCTTATGATACAAGTACAGATGCTAGAGTCAGCTGTGTGGCCTTGGGCATGTTACTTGACCCTCTGATCCTCATTTTCTTTGACAGAAAATGAAGATGACAATGGGACCTACTCTTAAGGATGTTGAGATGTTGTAAATGACATCAGGAAAGTCAAGTCATATAGCACAATGCTTGGCACATTGTGATTAGTTTCTGATTACTGACTCGAATTTCTGGACCCATGTTATAGAATTAATGCCACATGGCCAAACTGCTTTTCCAATAATATATGCATACAGCACATGGCATCTTTTCCAGTAAGGCGTTTGGTCAATTTTTCATCATTGCCCAGTCTGCTTTACAAACTTTAAGTGGACCCTGGCCAAACCTACCTTGAAGTTCAACACAAAGTCGTCTTTGTCTTCAAGGTCTAAACATCCAGCACAGAACACACCTCACAGTCACCCTTCCCCAGATTGCAGAGGAAGGGGTTAGGAGGTAGGGACTGATCAGAAAGATCATGACATTAAAGTATGAAGGTGCCAGAAGTCATTTTTCCACATGCAGCTGAATGATGAAATGGGGGACTAACATGGCATGGAAGTACCCCAGACAAGACTCTTCCTGTCCTCATCCTCAACCAACATATAATCTTGAAAAGTGAGAGCACAAAGACTGCTTTGTAATCATCTTTTTCCAAAAGAGGCCCAGAAAGGTTAAGTGGCTTGCCCAAGGTCACAGCTGACAATTGCCATTGAGAGTATCAGGACCACAAGGAATCTATGACTCACAGAGAGAAAATCCTGTCCACAACTCCATCTGTGCTTGTCCTCTTGGCCCCACTCATAACTTCATTATGAATGTCAGGGTAAATGACAGGGAGCAGGAAACAGCACACACTCATTTAGGGCTCTGGGGGCCAAAATCTGCGACCTTTGCAACAGCAGCTTTGAGAAGAGACGGAATCTTGGGGAAGGGCCATTCTGCACCATGCTTCGGAAAGGTCCCTGGGTCCAGCTGGGGTTCTGGGAACTTCAGAGGCTCGTCACACACCTCCTCTTTCCTGCTGCAAATCCATCTCAGTCTCCAGTTATTTTTTTCCCTACATATGGAAATTTCCCTAGAAAGACCAGTTTACTTGAACATCTTGTTTAATTAAAAGGAAAAGAAGGAAAAACACACGTTTATAAAGCACCAAAGCAAACCAGAAGTCATTGTTATTACAGTTTTATTCAAGTCTGTGTGCTCTGGTGGTGAGACCAGGCTGAGATCAGCATTACACTGTAATACGATAAGAGGTTTAGCCATTGAACCAAGCCTGCTTGGCATCCCTAGTTAACAACTTACAGTACCTTGAAAAAAAAAAAAAAAAAAAAAGCCAAAGAAAAGAGCCTGATAAATTTCCTCCAGGACTTTTCTATTTTTAAATATTGTTGACAAATTATAATAACTTAATCCCAAAGCAAAATGGGAATTCAAGGACTAGGGTCAGGACACATGGACAAGACAATGGAGCAAGGAAGGTGAAAATTAGCGGCTTGTTACAGAGGAACAAAGAACACAAATGTGAACTTCCACTTCACGGAGACTCAAAAGTTCTAACAGGGAAGAAAATTCCAAAGAAAGCTCTTCTGCAAACTAAGTAAAACCCTTCTCCAACTCCTCTCCTTAATCCTTTAGAAGACAGATGCAATCTTAGACTCAGTCTCTCTCTTTGTGTGAGCATATGTGTAAGCATGTAGGTGAGCATGTGAGTGTGTGCAAGTATGCAGGATGGGCAGTGAGGAAAAAGTTAACAAGTTCATCATCTCCCTTCTTTGCTACCCTGGGTACCAAGGGTACGTGGCTTGATGTGTGAAAAAGGCAAAAGCCTGATCTCGAGTTCCCAAAGAGGATCTACAATAAGGCTTCCAAGCTCGAGAGGCCAGGTATGTTGAAGCTGTGACAAAGGGTAATTATGGGGAAGGAGAAACTGTGGGTTGGAATCAGGAGAGAGACCCACAGGCTTCCATGGTACTGAGAGAAAAGCTACAGAATCGACACATTCCCTGAAAACTCATGGAGGGGAAATGGTGGAGGAAAAAGCAGCCAGGAGCAGAGAGAAATAAGCTGAGCTTGTGGGATGCTGCAAGTCCTGCTGGGGGTTTCCAGTCACAAGATGGCTTAGACGCAGGATGACTCCTTCTTGGACAAAGAGCCATCTCAAAGCCTAGATGCATCTAAGCTACACCGATTTTATCCCGGGGATTCTAAAGAGAGACCTAAAATGTGCTCTGAGAAAAGTAAGGGGCAACTATGGAGCCAAGCAGACTGCAAATGTTGCTTCCTAGCTGCGTGACCTTGGGCATGTTAAATAAACATCTGCACCTCATTTCCCACATCTGTAAACAGTGGTAATACCCTCCTCCCAAAATTATTATGAGTAAAAAAAAAAAAAAAAGTAGGAATATAAATGTTGACAGCACCTCCCACATGGAAGAAATATAATGGCTTCGGGTCATTTAGTGTTAGTCTCCATACCTAGGTCAAGATAAACCCATATCTCACTCTGGCAGTGATGAAGAAAAGAGCCACAGTCAGCATGGCTTCTTGAAGTGGAGGCAGAAATAAATGATGCATGTGAAATAAAGACAGTAGAGAATATGGTCTTGGAAATGACACTGGTGAGAGCGACGCGATGGCCAAAGTGAAGGCTCTCTGTGGGCCAGGCACAGAGCTAGGATTGCACTCTTGGCAAGCAAGGGAGGGAAAACACCTCCACCCACTGCAGTCCTTTCTGGAAACTGGGAGAGAGAATGGGCAACACTTCCTCACATCTCAGAAATTCAAAGGTGTCCCAAAGATCCTAATCTGAAAGATCTTTTTTTTACTGTAATCACTTCCCTTTTTCCTAAAACACACACAGACACACAGACATACCTCTAAGTGTCTCAGCGTTCACAGAGGCTGAGGAACTAAGAGTATCAACAAAAACCACCCTCAGTTATAGGTCCCAAGTTGAAAACTACCCAAGCTGTCTCACTGCTGAAGCCAACACAGTCCTATTAAAAAGCAGACACACCCAGAGAGTAGCACCCCACTCTTCTGAGGGGGTGCCAGAAAAATCCTGGAACCAACTCACAATTCTGCCCAAATGTTCACAGATGTAGGTGAAGATCGGGCAAGGCTGAGACTGAAGTGAGGTGAGTGAGGCCCTCACCTTGGATGCAAACTTTTAGAGTGCGTGGATGAAACTCAGTAAAATAAAGATAAATCATGTATCAATGCGAATTAAAAAACCAAATGAATGAAAACAACTCATGATGAATACAATATGAAAATTTTAAATAAAGTGAGGTTCTATGAGGGCAAGTGTCTAGATGGGAAGGATTTCCGGAGTGTGGAGGCCTTGTCCTTCTGAAACCTGGTCTTGGACATCAGTAAGTGCAGAGCAAGTGACACTAACACACAGTACCTGTGCTCAGAAGGCCCCTCTGGAGTCATCACTGGGACCACAGGTCCCAGTAGGAAAGGCTGTCTCTGAGCTTCTGGAACTGGATTCTGGCATCACATCCTGAGGCACCTATCTCACGGCAGGTTCAGTCTGTCAATCAGTTTAGCAAAACTAGGTTGTGGGTGTGTTCTGAGAGAAAGGGTCAGGCCATTTGGGGGTGAGATAGGTCCAGGGAAAGGTAGATTCATTTCCAAGAGAAACAAAGAGAGGTGTGAACAGTTCCTGGCTCTGGTAGCCAACTGGGCCCCAAGTTGGCTGCAGCCTGAGGCAAGGAACCAAAACAAGGCTCTAGGCAGGGGAGTTAGGGAAACACAGGCAGTGAAAATCAGGAAGGACCAGTCCTACTGGCTCCAGACTGAGTCCAAATTCTGAAGAACGAGTGCCAGGGCTCCCTCAGCAGCCCAGGGAGGTCAGGGTGCTCCCAGGACCCAAATGGACAAAGGGGGGTGGGACCTGGCAATCTCTCCTCAGGATGGATGGAAAATGCTGTCAATATTCAGAGAGGAAGTCGATGAGAGGAGCCTTTGGTGGGCACAGCCAACCAGAAGTCCAGGTCTGGGTCAGGCTCATTTGGCACCTCAACCCTTTAATTAGCCTTCATCAGCCACGGCTCTAGTTCCTGCCTCTGGCCTTGTAACTCTAGTGCCTGGTTGCAAGGCCAGGAAAAGGCCAGGGACTGAGGTACTCAGAAGCAGTGGTGCGTTTTCTTTTCTGAGGTGGATATTTATTCACTTGAATTCCTGATCTAGGGGACCACTCATTTGTCTGAGAGAGAGGCATTTGGGGATGTGTCCCTAACAACAACCACGGTGTGATAAAAAGCCATTCTCAGGCTTGAAGTGAGAGAGAGGAAACTGGTCTGGGGGGTTGAACCATATGAAACTGCTGATATTTGACTGTTTTGGCCTACAACCTCTGTCCCCTAACACTCTCTCTCTCTCTCTCTCTCTCTCTCTCTCTCAGTCTCTATCTCTTTTCTTTACAAAGGGAAACAACCTAGCAAGTGAGACTTACCAGAGCTGGACCTAGGATTCTAAGTCCACACATTTTAAACTTAGAAGGGCTTCAAGCTTGGGGGTGGGGAGCCAGGCAGCAGCATCCTCCCTCACGGGTGGGTTCTGAGATCCAGAGAGGGTTAGAGGCATTTGCAACTGCACACAAATAGTAAGGGAGCAGTTCAGACAACCAGATTCGGCTGCTCCTGCCACCACACTCAATGTGTTGCGGGCTGGTCTCAACTCTGACCCGGGTCTATGATCCCTGGCAGAGCCTCAGGCAAAGCAGGGCACTCCAGAAACAGCAGCACCTGCTTCTCCCCTTCCAGTCCTATACAGGCGATGAGTGTTTCTGACTACCTGGCTGGGCCCTCACACACCTGAGTCAAAGGTGCATTAAACACAAGAGGAAAAAGTCCAGGTTCCACATTCACAGACATGGTGGCTCCTGGATGGACATTTCAACCATTCCTGGCAATCTAGCCCCCCCTCCCCACTGCTCTGTGCTTGTCAACAGTGAGCCTGAAGAATCAGGAGTCCTCAGGAGGTGTCTCCCTCCTCACAGCAAAGAGAGGTGTTCAACATGGGGACTGTGCAGCAAGAATGTCAACAAGGCAGGCCTTGTGTCCCTGAGCACCCTTGGTCTGAGGGAAATGGGCCTTGTGAGGAATCCTGTGTCCTAAGGGCCATCAGGCCCTTTCCCAAAGATTCTCCCCCACATTGGCCTTAGTCTAGTCTCTGAACAAATCAGACCCTGGAATGGGCCCAAGAAGTCAGCGATGCCAGGGTGTGATTCTGCAACTCCCTCCAGCCTCCTCATCCCTACTCTGTAAGACACTGATGGTGGGGGTGGTGGGTCTGGCGAGTGGGAGAATGAAGAAGGATGTACATACACAGCAGGTGCTACATCATAAGTGCAGTGAAACCACGTGTGCCTGGCCATGGCCTCCATTAGTCACACTAAGCCAGTTCAAAATCACTCTTCCAGAAGCTATAGGAAGAAAGGAAGGCGAGTTCTCTGGAGGAAGCTGGTAAGAACCAGCTTCAGCAAGTGGCCAGAGTCGCCAGAAAGGAGGCACCTGCCTCACTGACCCGCCTACTCCCACTACCTCTCTGAGGGAAGCAGGTGAGGTTCGCTTTTACAGGAAGCAAACGTGAGGGGTTAAGAGACCAGCCAAAGGTCAGAAAGCAAAAGCAGATGGAAATAGAGCCAACTTGTTCAGGTCTGAGCCACGTGCCAGATTCAGCCACTGTTTTTTTAAATATTTCTACACCTGAAGCTTCACCTTTAAGTATTTCCTCTTTTCTACCAGGAAGTATATAGCAAATGGGGCAGGGCAAGGATGTAATTTTGCAAAGGTCAGGAGGAAAGAAGCAATGTTCTAAGTTGTCCAAATATATTGAGATGGTATAATCCATCATCGTCATCATCATCACACCATCATCATCACTATTATTACCAGACCTTTGGGATACTAAAGTATGAGGTTAAGCGCATCCATGAAAGCCTTTTGAAAATAGCATATAAAGATATCTGGGACATCTAATCAGCCCTGGGAGTGGCCAGGACTCCAACGGGGTAAACGGAGGATGATCTTGTTTACAACCAGTGGAGGAAACTGAAGGATGCAAGAAGGGGCCGAGTGTGGTATCTGTCTCCTATCACTATTTCCCATGATGATACACTTGCCAAGAGCAGAAGGAAATTGTCTCTGAGGAAAAAGATGGCAAGGGAAGAGGTGACCAGCTGTGACCACTGAAGAGGCTTGGCCCTCGGCTTCCAGGGAGCTCTTGACCATGGCCATAGGGCTATAAGAGAGCCAGAGAAAGCCACTCCCACCCATTACTATAGAGACCCTATTCCATCCCAGTCCTTCCCCACAGAGAGTGGCAGTTGGGGCTCATCAGAGACCAAGTGTGGAGGAGCTGAGAGATGGCAACACCTCCATTTTTTGGATGCTTATACACAGAAGTATCTTCAGAATAACTCCATTTCTGCTTCTCCTGGATACAATCCTTCCCTTGTAGACACCCAGCTTTCCCTTGTTTTTGCCCTGGATGGATGAGTAAGAATTGGGTTCAACTTCAATGGCCAGAGGCTGTTGTTTGGTTTATACTCCATCGGTTGCACCACCACTTTTGAGAAAGATCGTTGCAACCCAGAAAAATGACAAAGAGTAGAAAATGAACAAAGGAAAAATCCCTGCCTCACACCAGACAGCATGTCCAGGCCGGAATGGCTTGGGTCACACTAAGCTGCACCTTACCAGAGGTCCACTGAGTGGAACCAAGGGTCTACAGAGGTGCTATCTGATTCTGCCATCAAGAATGAAAGGGGGTCACAAGGCTGACTAGAACACTAATGGGATTCACATATACCCCCTCGCAGTCAAGAAGTAAGGGCTCAGGGGCAAAAATAATCCCTTATGTATTGTCTTCTCTGAACAAAGAGGAGACAGATGAGATGCAAAAAGCAAAACCCTGGCAACAAAACCAACAGTGCCTTGACCCAAAGTTCCAGCGGGCTTATAAAGAGGAAAAATTTGAAAACCAAGGTCACCCCTTTTGTCATCCCCAGGGCACAGACACAGCAGTGACCAAATTCACCACCTGTGTCAGCTTCACCACTCTCCTGGTCCTCGCACCCAGGCAGAAAATGCGAGGAACCTGCAGATTGGCCTCCAACAGAGAATATTCCATGACGGAAGACAGTGGGGTCTTCAGAGAATTCTGAGGGAAGAGGACTCTGCTCACAATCAAGTTGTCATCTCAAAGACCACAGTCCACGCTTGACACAGGAGGCCTCAAGTGGGACCATGAAGATACACAAAAAAGCTCCAGAAGAAGCTCAACAGTCAAGTTAAGGAAATAAATTTCAGGAAAGTTGGACTTGACCTCTGTTGTTGAGAGCCCTGCATGGGGCCATCTGTATTCCTATGCAAGAGGCCTCGCTCAGTCTCCAGGGCTTGGGATTTGAAGGTTATTGTACCAGTGGCTCACTAAGCACCTTACAAACGACATCACCTGAACACACCCATTTACGGAAGGTACTACTAATGGCTCCATTTTACGTTAATGGCATCACAGAGCGATGGCCTGGCTGAGAAGGAGCCCCCACGGTTCCAATTCCCAGGGTCCAGGACACACCTCCTTATGCTAGCCTGGTGCAATACAGAGTTATCTACTAACCGAACACATAACCCCAAGTCTCTCATCCCAGGGATTGGAGAAGAGATCAAGGGAGGGAAACAACATAAAGATCAGACAAGGGACAAACACAGAAACTTTGTCTGACTTCAGAACTGGCACCAGTGAGTGAGTCTCCCAAGAAACTATTCCTGAGATGAGCACATGTTGTATTAGAACCTGGTCTGTGCCTACCCAGATCCCAGCTAGGAGAGGGGTGCCTTCAACAGGGGCTGGTTTCTGCCCTGTTTTGTGGTTCCAAAAACAAGGACAGACTCTTACTCTTTTTACTGCGACTAGGCTGTATTTTTCCTAACTCTACCCCCCTCCCCAGCTCACAGAGGCAGGTCCCCTTACCACTGCTTGGCTAAGTAATGGGGCACTTGGGAGAGGAGGCAGGTCATGCCAGGTCCAGCAATTCTTACGCGCCTTCCCCTCCCAGGCACCTGGTCTTCAGCACTCCAGCTGGCATGAAAGGGCTTAAGATACAGAAAAGCTCATTCATATCTTACACCAAACGAGATTCTGATTTATGGGTGTTGGGGAAGAATGTGAAAGAGGAGCAAAATCAATCACAGAATATCCAATACTGGTAATTGGGAAGGCTGACCCCCGGGCTGACACAGGAAGCCCAGGACAGACTCAGGGCATACCCAGGGCAGAGGAGAGGAAGCAGCAGACATATTTGGCTGAGTGACGCCGCAGGGTCACCCTAAAGGCGAGGAAGACTGTGGAGGGTAGGGGACATGCACGCACCCCTCCCTCCCCTACACAGCCAGAGCTGATGGCCACAGTCCCTTCAGTGGACATGGGTAGAAAGGCCTTGCAGAACAGGAGACCCTCTGAAGTGGCCCTGTTTCCATCCCTTCCATCTTCAAAGTGCATTATCAGTGCAAGAAGTAGGGCTGGATCTTGGGGGTCCAACTCTAAGAAAGGGCTGTGCCAGCCAGCTCCCCCATCTCTTCCTGCTTCCCCCTGCCCACCCCCAACCCTTTTCGTGCTAAGACCAGAACTCTTGCTGGATCTCATAAGGGGCAGGCCTGTGGGTGTTCAGTTCAGCTCTGCACAGCGGCACTGTGCTGTCCTGACTCTGGCCCTCTGCGTCCAGGTCCAGAAGCGTCCGCTCGGCGGGGGGCAGTGACCCCGCCTGGAACGGGAGCAGGGCTGGCAGTCCAGGCCGTTCCTCCACAGTGCTGCTGCTGCTGGCAAAGCAGGAGTCCAGGTTGCTGGGCGTCTCGGTGCTGGAGCTGTTGGCCGGGGAGGCGCTACGGGCATGGCTGGGGGACACAAACCACCAGGGGTCCAACCGCTGCCGGTTGGCGGAAGGACGTGGCCGAGGCAGAAACTCCAGGGTCTTGGGTCTCTCCAAGGTAGAGTCCTGCTGTGTGTTCCAGCGCCTTGGGGTTGGGGGAAAGACCACATTGGGGTCGGGGAGACGAGGGAATTCACCTGGATCTCGGCTGGGGCTGGGGGTTTTCAACATTCCTGGTCAAAGAGACAGAGGGAGAGGCAGCAGGTCATGGTACTGTATTTCTGAGCAGGTACACAATGCTCCCTCCCCACCTTGCCATAGCCCTCATTTGTCTGGGATACCATGAATAACAGATACTTAATAAGCACCTGCTGTATGCCATGCAGTGTGTTGGGAGGCACTGGGGATACAACTGTGAACGAGAAGGCCACATCCCTTTATCTGATGATAATAATGGGACACTTTGGGGTGACAGCTATAATGAAATAACTTAAGGAATTATTCACTTATACTTCATCCATCTAATAAACATGTGAGAGGAACAAAGCTAGGGATCAGCAATCTAATGATGAGTCTACTCCCAAGCACCACACTCAGATCGTATACCCAGGTGTAACAAAACTGGAAAGCAAGGAGGGACAAGCCGAAAAGTAAAATTCAATTGTCACTGACATTCAAATCTCACTGAAAGGGTATTGCCATCCCCTCTTCTGTTGGATGAGGTGAGATCTAGGTCTTTCAGGGAGCAACGAATAGTGGCAGGGAAGTCCTAGGCTGGCGTGTACCTGCCTAGGTAGCTCGTGTCAGACAGAAGGTGTAGGCGCCGGCACAGCCATTTATCTGGACAGCACTAGAGTACGGACTCAGGCATGAGTCCGGGGTGAGCGTGAGGGTGTGATGACGGGAGGAAGGCCGCCGCATCAGTGTGTCAGTGCAAATGCTGTGATGACAGGCCAGCGCCCAGCCACGCGATGCAGGCGCTGGGTCGGATTCCTTCCAGTAACTTCAAGCTCCTCTTCAAGGAACCAGAGCTAGACTCCTGGCCCTCCTGGACCCTGAAAGTGTAGCCTGATCTTTACCACCACCACCTGTGGCTTAAACTTTTTATTAGAAAAGTTAAACTAGGTAGAATTAAATACTTTGGAATGAAATACACCCTGTGTTTTTCTCTTCTCCCCCTCTCCCATGGCATTAGTTCTCTAACCGCATTCCCAGGAACCTTGAGAACTGACTTACATCTCTAACAAAATTCTCTGTGCCACCTCGAGGGGGATGACAACATTAAGGGCAAGCACCTGCTGGCTGTGAGTGGGCTGTTAACCCCAAAGGTACAGCTCTGCAGAAGACAAACATATGATTTATGACACCTTCACTGCTGGGCACCTCCGGGGATCTCAGCCAGGTCCCTCACTCCCGTCACACTAACTCACCTTCCTTTGCCAGTGTATAATCACAGCACCCCGCCATCTGGGGAGCTGATGTTTAGGGACTTAGTCCTGCCAGCTCCCTTGGTGGCCACCTGGAAAAACCCCTCTGAAAAGACATTCTCCTGGGTCAGCCTGGCTTTCTGGGTGGTGAGCGAGAGACCTGTCTGGTCGTTTTCAAAGTGCACCCTGAAAGTACTACACACTCTCAGATCCAGGGCATGTGCCCCACAGAAGCCCCCAGTCTCTTGCTCCCAGATGCTGCCTGTCTCCTTTCACTCTTCAAGGGAGACCCCCTGAGGCACGGGGCAGAGGTGAGCCGGCCTGACCACCTTCCCCACCCGCATCAGCACATCTCCACGGACCGAGTCAGAGGCGGAACGGCCTTCACTCCAAGACCTCCACTCCTGGGAGAGGCACAAAGGTGGGAAAGACAACACAGCAGGAGGCCAGGTCTCACCTGCTCCAGGGCTGGGGCTCAACCCATTGCTGGAGGGGCTCCTGCTGGCTAGGACGGCCCCTGGCTTCAGGGCCCCATCGGAAGGAGTCCGCCGGTGACCGCTTGGCTGTGTGGGGGCCGTGAGGGTGACATGGGTGGGAGTCAAGGATTGGTTAGGGTCTCGCTTGAAGCGTTCCACTCGGATGTTGACCAGGGGGTTGTGGGTGCAGGGGGCCAGGGGCGGGGCCTCGACCGGGCTGACAGGCATCTCATACACCACGATCTCATCACTGTCGGAACGCAGCAAGGAGCGGGTGGAGTTGCACTCAGAGATGGAGGAGAGAGAGAGCAGCGTCAGCGAGGCAGAGGGGTCTCCTAGCAACAGCATGGGCTCTTCCTTCTTGAAGAGCTTTCGGGATGGGGGGCTGGTGCTCCGACGAGGACGGCTGGCCCTCTGAAAAAGACCCTCACGTCTCTTCTTCTCCTCCCGGGCTGGTGGCTCAGGATCCTCTGGGGGAAGCAGCTGGCACTTTCCAGCTTCCAAGAGGTCAAACCCTAGGCCCGTGGCTGCAAGAACAGCCCCACAGCCAAGCAGGGCCACCTCACAGCGGCGGTGGTGGGCGCCGCCCCGCTTGAGGCTGTTGGTTGGCGTCAGCTGAGGGGTACTGGTGGCTGAGTTGACTGGGGTGGGTTCCTCATGGATTCCATCGCTGGCGGGGCCATCCCCATCCTCTCCCCGAGGGAATGGGATACAGAGGTAGGACTGGTTGGGTGAATGCTGTAGACGACTCTCCCCGCTCCTTGGACCCTCACTGTCCTCATCCTCTGTGAAGACGAGAGCAGAGGAGGGGAAGTTGGAGTGAAGAAGCAAGAATAAAAATCAGCCCTTCTTCCCCAATCCAGGTCTCCTTAGTGTCAGGGATGCAGAGGTCAGAGTCCGATGGGCAGGACACCCACTGGGCATTAAAACAATAGAGTTTTATTCTGCTGGGAGCAACACAGGGGAATCACTCTCCAGTCCAGACACTGTTCTACACACAAGCAGTGCTCCTAGAACACTGGCTAGAGCAGAACTATCCCTTGATTCTTTCAACCTTAAGTTTGGGAGAAATCCAGAATTTTTAGAAGGATGGCCTAGAGATGTGTCTTCAGTCTGATCTCCTGCAAAGGATTAGAATTCCCTACATCGGTAAAGGCCAAGCTACTCTACAGGCTGACCTGCTGTGACCCTGGAAATCTAAAAAGATAGGAGCATTGTCTGAGAGAGAGCCTGGAAAAGACCTTGTCTACTCAGTAATCACAGGATAACAATGAAAAGCTTCTTTGGAGAAAGACTTCAGTATCTTCTTCTTTTTTTTTTTTAAAGATTTATTTTTTATTTATACAATAGGTAGGATACAGGCCAGAGACACGGGAGGGGGAGGGGATTCACCAGAGACAGAGTGGGGAACAGAACAGGCAGACTGACTGAAATACACTGCTGAGGGGAGCAGCGGGCGAGACAGGAGAGGTCTGCCACGCCATGTGGGAATCTCCCTGGCCGGCAGGAATCGAACCCGTGCTTCAGAGGCTGTGGACAGCTGCACAATACGGCGCTCAACCAGCTGCGCCACCAGGGAGGCCCAACTTCAGTGTCTTCTACCACCATTTCCCATTTTGCAGACTCCTCATATTACAATATGAAGAAACAGAAGAGATATGCCTGATTCAGGGCCTCACCCTTTTGCACTGCTCTGAGGAGCTGGTAACTGGTCCCTGGGACTGGACGGCCAAGGACAGGCTCCATGGCAGCAACAATGCTTTAGGAAGACTCCGTGAAATGGCAGTAGGGCAAACTAAGAGGGGGTAGGGTGGGGGCCAGAAGTTGAATAAGAAGGAACAGTCCCCATGAAGTAATACTAGGGGCCCTCGAATACTCCTAGAAGGTTGGCCAAGAATTCCCTGAGGATAAAGACGACAGTTCTAAGAAAGGCAAGGCTTACCCATCTCCATGAGGCTGGTGAAGCCTGGCAGAGCTGGGCTGTTCCTCGGGCCTTTCCCCAGGTTGGGGGCACTGGACGACCACTGTTTATATCCGTCTACCAGGGACTTGAGGCTGAACGAGAGAACATAAAGAAGCTGTTATAACTGTCACTTCCCTTACTCTACCCTCTGCTTCATGGGCTGATGCAAATCTCTCTCCTTCACTTCATAATTACACCAAAGTCCAAGAGCCTTGGGATATAGGCAACAAACCTCACCGAGCCCGCCTATTTCATTATAAAAATGCACATGCTCTAGAGAAAGAAAAGCACTGCATTGGCCATCCCCTTCACATGCTGCTAGGGAGCGGTGGCAAGAGCTGGTGGGTAGGCTGGCAAGAGAACACAAAGAATAAGGACTGCCTAGTGCCAGCCTGGTCTTACCTGAGGCGATCTTTAGGGAGAGGCTGATAATCCACAGACACAGAGTATAACACATTGGTGACATCAGAAATACTACAATGCAACAACTTTGAATGCAAGGCAAGCATTGGATGGATGAGTTAGCAGAGATGGACCAGACTCTTCCACTCACAACGTTTCTCCCTTCCAAGCTTATAGCATGCTTAGGCAACAATCAAAGCCAACCACTTTCAAAAACAAAAATCAACCAACAAAGCTGCACCAACCCAGTGCACTTTGGGATAGACCTATGTGGTAGTACATAATGCTGTATTCAAGCCATTACTTTTCTGGGAATAAAGAAGAAAAGGACAGGAGCTCACTTTTAAATTTCTATAATCAGTTCACAGTGGCAAGCTGGGAACTCAGAGGCCACAGACTGGGTGGCCCACCAACCTCTTACAGGATGGGAGAGCCAGAGGCCCAGCAGCACTGGCCTTTTCTCCACAGGACAGTAAGAGAGAGCTTAGACTAAGGATCTGAAGGCTATGGCTACCCTGGAGCTACCAGGATTATAACTAGCAGTGCTCTCATTTTGGGGCTAGAAAGAGCCCTTCGATTAAAGTCCACTCTTCCCAGAATCCTAGCGCAGCTGAGAGAGAGGACTGACTTTTTCCCTGACCTCAGATCTGTGTTTCAAGCAGTATCAGAAATATCAGTGAAATAAAATACATTCCAGTCATAACTGGTTTCAGCCAAAATACAGAGGCAGAGATAACCGTGCTGCTAATCCCCTAGACTGGAGCTTCTAACTAGTAATCAATCTTATGACATTCCCTTCAGCTCCTGGATCCAAGGAAATCCAGACTAGCAAGTGCTAAAGACTAAAGGATAGTTATGTCTTGTCTCCCTAAAACTGTGGGAGACTTGGTGGGAGTACCCCAACAACAGGAGTGTTCAGGGAGGTGGGGAAAGGGAAAGTCAGACCAACACAGGAATTTTCCCAAGGTGCACGATGGTATTGCTTGGAAAATGGAGTCAGCACAGTCCTGGCAATAATGAGGTTGATTCTATGGGGGTACACTGTGAGAACGAGGAAATGGGAGGGGGATTATCACCTATACATTTGATGACAGGGTGAAGATTAGACTCACCCCAAGTGGAAATGTGGAGATTCTGATGGGACACTTAGACCATTAGCTTTCTCGCGTCTCTGAGGGGATCTTCAATGAATAAAGAGAATCAGTAGCAAGCACAGCAGTCCATTCAGCTCAGTCTCTCCCACTAAAGAGCTCTAGGGCTGGGCTCCAGTTACATCACAGCCACCTTCCTCTCCCTCCCCCAGTGCTGTCAGCCATGCCCACACCATGGAAGAATCCTAGTCAGGGGACCCTGTGTAAGCTGCTACAGGTCCAGGACCCATAGGATAAAGTCCCTGGGCAGCCACAGTACAAGTGCAGGGGCCTGTGAACCCACAGATGTTGGGGCTGTCTCTAGTCAAATGCACACATCTCCTAGAGATATGTGCTCGTCTTTAAAAGGATGAAGATGCAAATTCACTTAACATTACAGGATTCACTTTTGTCATTACATGTTTTCTTTAGTCACCAGGAACTAAAATTGTAAATGTTGTATAGAGGCTTTTTAAAATTTCTGATGTCAAAGAGGACCTCACTGGAGATTGGATGGTGTATACTTTTATTTCTTCAACAGGAATGGAGAATCATGGAAAATTAACTCACATATTTTGAACTGCTTCAAAAGTTTTTGAGTATACCCTATGTTTATTGCAGCACTATTTATAATAAGTAAAATATGGAAACAACCCAAATGTCCCAAAATAGGTGACTGGATCAAGAAGATGTGGTCTATACACACAATGGAATACTATTCAGCAATCAAAAAAAATAAACTCATGCCATTTGTAACAACTTGGATGGAGCTGGAAGGGATTATGCTCAGAGAATTGTCAGAAGGAAAAAGAAAAATATTGGATGGTTTCACTTACAGGAGGAATATAGGGGAACAAAATAAGGGATGAGTAAAAACAACAATAAATAAAAACCCAAAACTATAAATCAGAGACATTCTGCAGGGGAGGGGGAGGAAGAAGGACCAAAACAGGCAGGGAAGAGCACAAGGGACTGTGGTGATGGTGCATGGGTCAATTGGTGGTGGGAATTTTATGGGGACTACAGCTGAGAGGAGAAAGCAAATATTGTACAAAAATGAACAATGATGTAAAATATATATAAATAAATAAAAAGCTTGAGTACAAATTTATGAGGAGAATAATCCCAAAGTTAATATTTTATAATGTGAAATAAAGTTAATTTTCTCACCAAATAAAAATATATCTTTGAAGGAAGAAGCATCATAAAAACTATGGCGACCCACAGTGACCCTGGTAAATCCTATCTAGAATCACACCGATATCAGAAATACCAGGGAAGTCAGGGTAACTGGGTTTCTCAGACGCAGCTCAATCCTACTCCAGACCAGGGTTCAGAGAACAAAGTAAGCAGCACTTCCTGCTCCTGCAGAACTTAGTACATGGAACGAGTTCCCATCCCTCCCTAGGGGATTCATTTACTGAATTCCCGCACAGCTTAGGGGTCTGCCCTACATATCTACATGTTTCAAAGCCTGACCTAAAGAGTCCATCCTTTATAAATCAAACTGTTATTTTCACCTTTTTAACTTATTTTTTGTATAGAAGAATGGGTTTATAGGCCAGAGATACAGGGGGTGAGAGGATTCATCAGAGACAGAGTGGGGAGCAGAATAGGCAGATTTACTGAAATACACTGCTGAGGGGAGCAGCTGGCAAAACAGAAGAGGTCTGCTGCACCATGTGGGTTAGCTCCCTGGCCAGGGATTGAACTCAGGCCTTTAGCAGTGAGATAGATTTTAGATATGGACACTTGGCATTCAAAGAATACCAAGGCCAACTACAGATTCAGGGCACCTCAACACATATTCAACCACAGCAGCTCTTTGGAAAGTCACTAAAAAGGGTGAAGGAGGTTGCTGCTTATGCTTTGAAAAGTCAAGAAGCACAACCATAGACTCTACTACTAAGAATAGAAAATATAAACCATGATGTTCATTCTTCAGGTATGAAACAGCACTTGCATGAGAAGCATGGAAGAATCATCATAGCAATATTTACACAGGCTTACTATGAGCCAACTGATCTCCTACACACTTCACAAACACGAACTTATTTAATGCTCACATCACCCTGAGAAGGGTACTGATATAATTCCCATTTTAGAGGTGAGGAGACATGTCATGGGGCTAGGTGCAGTGGAGTCAGGGTTCACACCAGGCAGTCTGGAGTCAGCGTCCAAGCTCCTACCACTTCAAGAGAAGTGACTGGCGTATAAAGAACATGACCCTGGAGCACCTGGCTCCCAGGTCTGTGGTGAGAGCACAGGCACATCCAAGGCACCCACATGTGCCTCACACATCTCAGCGTGGCCACAGGGTGGGACCTAAAAGAAGCGCTGCTGGCCATGGGGTTGTGGCTGACTACATTTCTAGGGCTGGATTATTCTGCCCACCCCTGCTTCAGGACAAACCCTTTAATCCCCTAAATCCCTGGAATTTTTTTTTATTTTTTTCTGAACAGATGTGTTAAGGGAAAAAGGAGAACTCTACGTGCGTGGGCTACTTGCTACTTGCTAATCTGAGCAGGGCATTGTCAAGGGTCAGCAAGCTGTAGCTGGTGGGCCAGAGCTTGCCCACCACCTGTTGTCACTAAGATTTACTGGAACACAGCCATGCTCATTGGCCTCCAGATGGTCCCAGGTCTGTGGCGGCTTCTGCGCTCCAACAGCAGAGCTGAGGAGACACAATGGAAGCCACATAGCCTACAAAGCCTAAAAAAATAGTTATCTCTGGCCCTTTAAGCAAAGTATACCAGCACCTTGCCTAGGAGGTTCCAGGGAACAGATTATAAAATTCTATGATAAAGATAAAAAAATTTGTAATTTCTTAGAAAGCAGTAAAACACAACAGAGAAAAGACATTTCATATCATATATTGCAAAGTGTGTACCCACCCACCTTTATGTGAGAACGTGCCACCCCAGGCTCTTACCCTTCGTCTCCTGAGGCAAGCTCCTTCTGACCGAGTGTACTTGGCCCCCATGTCCGCCCCTTCTTCTTGGGGGCTCTCTTTTCTTCCTCCTCCCCTTCTTCCTTTGGGATGATGGAGCTCCGGCCCCAAGTTTTGCTGCTTTCTCCAGGTGTCACTGTGAATAACAAAGGTTGGGTGGGACCTGGGAAGCAGAGGACCCCCCAAACTAGCCTCGACCCCATCCAACACACTCACACATGTGCACCCACATGCAGGCACACACACAAGTGGAGCTGTGGGGAAGAAGTCAGACCTCTTCAAAAACTATCTGAGTGCAACTTCTGGGGAAGCAATGGGGTTCTCAGTCACCAGTCATTTAGCACTCCCCAAGTAGCAAGTGTGGAGAGACTTCCCAGATTCTTGGAAGTGCAATGTAAATTAGGAACTCAGGCCAGCCAGGCATCAGAGTTCCAAACAGATCTGTCCTAATGGACTTGTTCTGTTGGCGCGAACTGGACTGGGTTAACAGGTAGAGAAGGTGGGAAAGAGAAAAGAGTAAGGGTAAGGAAGAAGTGGTGTAGACATTTTGGTAAGAAAGTTCAAGAAAGAAAAAGAATGAGGAATTCAAGACTGTGGAGAAGGAAGTCGGGAGTGGAGGGGGCAAAGGAACAGGCCTAGAGAAATACAGTAGGTAATAGAGGAAGAATATTCATTTGACACTGACACCATAGAGCAAGGATTAAAAACCAAATGCTTCAGAGGCTGGTCCTACATCATCCATGAATGAAGTGAGCCAGTGACCAAAAAATAGGAAATTGCAGGGCTAAGGCAAAATACAGAGCACATGGACATTGTCCTTAGTCTGGTCAACCACAGCCATATAAAAAGGGGAATCCACTGATTTTATGATTTTTCAAGGAAAGTTATGAATCCACATTGAGTTTTCTTAAAAAAAAAATCTATCTTTAAATAAGGGAAACTCATTCATATCACAAATATGTGTGTATATACACACACATATACACACAGGTATATATATATATGTATATTGTATATGTGTGTGTGCTGGTATATGCATAAAATCTTTTTAATAAACATTACAGTAAAAATGACATTGGTCCAGATTCAGCCTACTATAAAATATTTGGCAGGTTTCCTTAGGACTGACGCTAGGAAATGGCCCTTCCCTGAGAGGCAGGGACAAAAGTATGAACAATGATGCCCCAAATATAGCAGAGAGAACACAGGGGCCCGAGACCAGAGTGTCAACCTGTATCTACATCCCACACCAGTTTCCAAACTGCTTTGTAACTCATTAAAGACCCTGTCAATACCCATAAACCCCTTTGCTGCTACATGACTAAGGGTAAAAGGCAGAGGCAAGAGTAGTAAAGTTAATGGAGAGAGACGGGGGAGGGCTAAGGGTCTGCGTACATATGTGCATATATAGACACACTGTCGAGGAGAAGTGGCAGAGTTATGGATGAAGCAAGCCTGGGCCAGTCGGTAGCTGGACAGAGCAGGGGACAGGTGCCCCTGGTGTGTTCTGGCCCCAGCTAATTTGGGAAACAGTCTCACACTGGATGGCTCGTAGGCGAGGAATGATGGTAGGGCTTGCAGGAGGACTGGAGCGGCTGTTGATGAGACTCTTCCTTTTATCCATGGTGGGGGAGGCCTGCACCGTGAACTTGTGCTGGAAATCTGCTTGGGAAAGACAGAGGGGGGTATTTGCATTAGAATTTTTCTGTAACAAAATTCATGAGAAAACTGAGATTCCCTGGCAGTTTTGAGGGACAGGCCCTAGGATCCCAAGAAGTTTCTCTTTTAGAATCTTCTTTTACTCAAAGAGACATGGTGAGATGAGCGGATGACAAGAAGGCAAATTCATTATCTGAGTGGATGTCATTAAGACAGTTTTCATAGAGCTGTCTATATAATATGCATAGGTGTAGTAAAGATATAGTCACAAAAGTTAAAAAAGGTCATGTTAAGAACAAGATCATGAAACCTCTTGATTACTATAGGAAACTTAACATTAAACTTAAAATTCTGCTTCATGTAATCTATTAGTGCATACCATGCCCTTTCTCAGAGGCCAATATATTGAGACTGACGTTTCAGGGCAGGCAGATCAGGGTAATAAGAACTAAGCCTTGGTGGGAACCAAGGAAGTGAGGGAGATGGGCTAATGGTCCAGGAACTGATGTATTCAGAGACAGGTGTGCACCAGGAATGTGAAACGTACAGGTCTGAATTTCTGCATTTCAGTCTCCTCATCTGTCAGAGTGCAATAAATTGCTGCTTAGCATATAGCTCTCCCCACCAGACTATCATCCCCCTGATAGTCCCTTTTCTATTTGCCTGCCCAGCAGGCAGCAATATGCTGGCACAGGCTAGATACTCAAAAGACGTTGGATGACTCCATGTTGCCTGAAATGAAAATATGCAACAAGGAAAGTGGTAAACATGTCCCACGAACTCACTCAGTGACTTTCTCTAAATGAGTTCCCATGTCTGTACTTAAGTCAGCATCCCAATGCTAAGCATCATCCATGACTCCTCTTATACTTCTGATGAGCTTACTTCTGGGTGCAATGAACCCTTTAATCTACATAAACACACACCAGAGCACTCACCACCCTCCATGGGCACGTTACACACCACAAAGAGTCTAGTTCATAGTTATATACTTCTTTGCATTTTCCCAAGGCTGGTAACTTTATTCAGTTGATGAGCTTCTGAAATGTATATACATTAATCCTAATCTTTACGCTCAGAGAACCAATGATCAAAAGAAACCCTGAAATACTTTGCAGAGCTCAGTTCTTTCATCTCATGTATACACTTTAGAATCCCCCCTAATATAGCAGAGAGCACACAAGGTCCCCAGACCAGAGTGCCAACCTTTATCTACATCACACACCAGTTTTCAAACTGCTTTGTAATTCACTAAAGATCCTGTCAATACCCATATTGCAGTATCATTTGCTATTATGTGACTAAGAGTGAAACAGCAGTGAAGTAAATGGAGATTAACACAATCACATTTTTCTCCAGGTTGGCTTTCAGCGAGATGTGCCTATATGAGTGACCAGGCTTCTAGCAGCAGGGACCTGGTCCATCAAAGTCACTGACATGACTTCACCTCATCTTCTGTGTTTGTCACTCTGAAAACTCCCCTTGGGGTGGGTCGGCTTCTCAGCAGGTCCATCTTATCACTGAAGAGAACAGCCCATTTCTAACTAGCTCCATGTTGAGAGCCACAGTCTCAAGTTTGCAAGCTCAGTCCCTGGCTCCCCTGGGTCCTCTGCCATACCAGCCCCTTTGCTTGCTCCCACTTCCCAGGAGGTCCCTGGCCACTGACCAGAAGGAAGGCTGATGCGGTTTCCATCCTTGAGCTTCAGCCGGCTCTTTCTGAACTTGCCCTTACGTTTCTTCACCCGGGGCTTCTCCTGGCATAGCTGGTGGATGATGATGTTGAGTTCACGCTCCAGGATGTCAATTTCCCGCTCCGCCAGCTCCTGCTCCCGGCGCCGCAGCAGCTCCTCCTGGTTTTTCTGCTGAAGTGCAGCCCGCGTGAGCTCCTCTTCCCAGGTGCGGAGCTCCTGCAGGAGTCACCAGAGGAGAGGGGTGCTCAGTGCATGGGGTGAAGCCTGAGAGTGCTGCAGGGCTAGCATTCACAGACGGCATTGATAGACAGCTCCCCTTAATGTCCCAAGGTTCAAGTTCCCAGTGGAGATGGGGTACTCAATGGCTAGCTTGGTTAAGGGACACCTGAAGACCCTGAGTAATGAAAAGAAGGTTCAGGACAGCCATTGGACTTTGACTAGAGCTGCTAAAGCCATAGGCCAAGCCTTGGAGACAGGAGCTGGGAGTTCCCAGGAGCTTGTTGATTACTGATTAAAATTGCCCATGATTGGGGGAAAAATTGGGGATATCGGAATAAAATATAATCATGTATTTGAACTTTACAGACTTGGTTCTATCTTAGTTTTAATTTTTCCATTATATAGAGGTTTTTTTTTCTTCAACCAGAACCAATTTTATATGATCTCTTGAAGTGTGCCTGCAGTAAATGAATCACCCTGCAGGCATTATCTCACACTCAAACAAAAATAAATAAATGTCCAGGGCGGCTATTCGAAAGGTATGTGAGGCATGTCCTCTAAATCTCTATTTGCTTGGTAAGTGAGTCCACTGAGAGCTGTGGTTTGAACTGTCATTCCATCTGAAAGGACAATTGTTTGCTCCGGAAGGATCATGGCAACATGGCAAAGAGAAAAGAGAATGTTTCCTCAAGTCTTTGCCAGGACTTTGTTTGCTCCAGAACCGACCTTGCCTGCTGCTCCATTACACACTCTTGAAGCCATTCAATGAACGTAGGAGAAGTTGTCCCAAAGCAGGGCAAGGCTCTGGAGGCACAGCAGTCACTCTGCCAAGCAGACAGCCCAAGCCAGAAGGCTGGTGGTGGAACTAGGACAATTTCCCAACTAGAATCCAGTTTTGAGAGCCCAGAATAGGCCCTCTGTCTTGCCCTGAGGATGGAGGTGGGAGCCACAATAGGTGGTCAGATCTCACCCCTGCGTCCCTTTTTCTTTCTTGCATGAATGTATAAGTGAACCCCACACATAGTTCTTGGGACGAGGTGTGTGTATGTGGTGGGGAACATGGACTCAGAAAATAGGAGAGAAAACAGGAAAAAGAACAAAGCACATGTAATAAAATTTTCAAATCTGGAATCTAAATTATTAACACTGGTTACCCCAGGTCTAGGATTGAAGTGGGGTGGGGGTGGGGTGGGGTAGAGACTGAAATATAAGTAGCTTTTTGACTAGCCTGAGAGGATCATGTCTAAGAAGTGGGAAGATTCTTTAATAAAGCAGCCAGAGCTACACTTTTGTGATCAAAACTAAAAATTTCCCCATGAAATGAGAAGATGTCATTCTGGACTAAAACAAAATAGAAGGGGAACCAACATCTAAAAAAAAAAGTATGTGTTCACATATTGGGAAATTTGAGCTGCAGGAAGAGAGCAGAAGAGAGCAGAGAGACAAATGGGCATAATATATATATATATATATTTTAATTTTCTGGTCTTTTTTTTTTTTTAGATTTATTTATTTATTCATACATGCACTGGGTACAGTCAGAAGCGCGGGAGGGTGAGAGAATTCACCAGAGCCAGAGCGGGGAGCAGAGCGGGCAGAAGGACTGAAGTACACTGCTGAGGGGAGCAGCGAGCGGCAGGAGAGGTCTGCGCGCCATGTGGGACCCTCGCCCAGCAGTCAGGGATCGAACCAGCTGCAGAGGCTGCGGGCAGCTTCGCAACCCAGCGCTCAACTGCTGCGCCACTGGGGAGGCCCGGGCATAAAATATTTGACGCTGGGAATTTTTCATTCAACTGATGTCCTCCATTCCTGAGAGAATGTCAAAATAGCCATAAACATGACAGAAGAAATGAGAAGAGGGAGGACTAACACCTTGAAAATTGTTTGGTACAGGTAAGTGTTTAGTAGTTGTTGAAGAACTGTTGAGTCCAAGAATGAATGAATGATAGATAAGAAGGAGGTAGATGAGAACTTTATGAATGAACCAGATGTATCGTAAGTGCCTGAGAGATTAGCCTGAACTCTTGCATTTTACCTTCTTTGGTGACATAGGCCCCAAACAGATTAAATTGTTGTGTATCCCCCAAATCCCGGCTCCCTGTCCCACTACTTTGTTTTCTCCAAGAAGAGGAAAATATAAACATGAAAGAGTAAGAAAAATGACTCCAGATTGGATAGCTCTGCTGGGAAATGAAAAGTTTGAAAGTTCAAGCTAACTTCAGCTTTCCTAAATCCTTCTCTGCCACAGGCTCTTGTCTATGGTTTTCCTTTGAGTTCCCTCATATTTCCCTCATAGGGAACTCAAACTCCAGTCCTGAAACCAACCCATCCTCATAATGCCTAAAAGCAGTAGGTGGAACCAATACAAAGAATGAGCTGAATTAGATGGAAACCAGAACATCTGTGGAATACTTGCTTATGATGCCATATACATGGAAGCCCCTCAAACATGTAAATACTCTTCTTGAGAAACGCCTATTTGGGGATCAACTTCACATCTTCCACATGCAAAGATTTAAGAGGACTATCTCCAGAGAAAGCTCATTATCCATCTTATCCCCACTTGCCCCATGACAAGCCTTACAATGGCGAGGCATCAGACCCTAGTGAGATAAAACAAGGACTTGGGAACAAACTACTCATGCTTTGGTCTTGGGCAAGTTTATATGGGCATCAGACGTAATATGGAGTGAAGAGCACTGACCTCACAGAGTTATATGCCCTAAGACAATTATTTTATTATGAAACATTGCATAAAAATGCCCATAAGTTACTTATAACAACATGGCACATTGTACATGCTCAACAAACATTAGCCATTATTGAGAATGGCTTAACTTTCCCACTAGCTGCAGGATCCAACTTTTTTCCTTATCCTTGTAAGGTACTGAGAAAAAAGTGAACCAAGAGTCAATGCTTAAGCAAAATTAAGGCCAGCAACTCTGAAGTTTCTTCTAGTAGTAATAGCATTAGTAATAGGAACAGTCTCTGGTAATCATTCTGTTCAGCAGTCAGTACAGATTCACCCCCACCCCAGTACCCTCAGGTCCCTAAAGATTTGTGGTAAGCTCACTCCATCTTCTGCAGAGTGCTCACTGACTTGCCACACAGAACCGTGTTTAGGATTGAGATGCTGCATTTTAAAAGTTTAAATTCTTTAAATCAGCTCCAGAATGATTTTATGTCATTTATTCAGGGGAATAACAATGATACGACAAAGAGGATTTTGGAATCAAAAGACCTGGGTGCAAGGTTCTGCTTCCCGACACCGGCCTTACATGCTGCTGGTGGGGTCGTTTAAGACTCCAGGATGAAAGGTCTCATCAGACCTTTCAAGTGAAAGAACTGGGAAATCAAAAAGATGAAACAAATTTTTTGTTACTCTTATCATCATGATGCTCCCCAAATTCCCACAGAGGGGAATGAGAGGGAGGAAAAGGAACTGACCCTGTTGATGGAGGCCGGATTAGCTCACCAGTGTGGACTGGCTGCTAGCTAGCACCAGGGGTGTGGAGAGGGGCTGGCTCGTAATGGGCCACCAGAACACAAAGGCAGACTTCCAGTAGGATTAGAGTGTCTGAACTGCTGAGTTGGTTTGGGATTAGAGCCCTTTCACAAAAACATGAAAAATGCCAAACAACCTCAGACCCTTGGTATTTCTAACCCAGATACTGTCTCTGATTCTGATACTAAAAGACATTGGCAGGATGTTCTGATAACTGATCTCAAAGTTGAAGTATCCCTCTATCAAGTGAACCTCCCTTGAGAAAAATCCACTGCAGAACCAAGAAACCTTTCTAGAATCTTCCCATCCTTTCAGGGGGCAGGGTGAGGCCCCTGGTGGTATCTGCTCAGTGGTGTTCGTCCTGATTTGCACAACAAAGCTGACACTCAGTAAGGAGAACTCCAGACTCATTACTACTTACTCCTACCACATCCCAAAAACACTCACCCCAGGCCTGGAGAGCCCCTCCATGTACAGCAGGCGGGCAGGATCTGCCGTTACCACAAACTAAGCAGGAGGGGGTCATGTTGGCATCAGTCCAGAGGCCTTGGTGGGTTGTCCACTGACACATGCCTCCCTTTCTCTCGTTTCTTACCTTTTCTTTGGCTCTGAGTTGGTCAAACATCTCCTGAATCTCATGTTTCCAGTCGTCCTGCAGGCAGTGGAAGGAATCCTTGGGCATTTCAAAGAAACCGGATTCCTCTATGGTGGTGAGCTGGTCCAGGATACTCGTGAAGGATGGTCGTGAATGTGGGTCGGGGTTCCAACAGTCTGTGTGGAACACATGAGTAGACAGAAAGCGTAAGTGGACGTAGGCTCACGTAAGACTTAGGATGCCATGTGACCCCATCTACCACCAACCTATCACTTCTCATTCTCCTTCCAGAATCAGAGACTGGGATCAGGTAGCTTCTCACAGGGCTGAGGAGATCAAGCAAGCTACCCAACATCACAGCGATGAAGTGACACTGGAAATGAAGAGCGGCATTTCTGAAACCGCCCAGTTCTGACTACTGACCTAACATGAAACTCTTGGCAAGTCCCAAGCGTTCTCGTGTGTAAAGTACAATTACTACAATTTACTGTATTCCTTCATCAACGTGATTCCAGTCTTGCCAGTGGGTAACTCTAGCTGGGGGCTTCAATTCCCTATAAATAAAGAGCTACTTTTTACCACCTCAGTGGGTGAATGAGCAGGCAAGGGTAAAAAGCCTTAGCGAGAGTCAGGAAAAGTGAACTCTCTCCTTCTCAGCTCAGCCTCTAGGAGTGTGGCCACCTGTCTATCCATGTCACCTCTGTTGCGCTTGGATTTCTCACAAAATCACAGATAGAGTTCCTTTCTTCTCATATGTTCTTCACTTCTACATGTAAGACACTGAGAGGCCCTAAATAAAAGCACTACACATTATTTTATATTAATAATAGGTGGAAGTTCCGGGTAGCAGGTTTTCGCTCGTTAGTTTGGTTCTACAGCCACTGGAGACAGACAGCGGGTCCCCGGTGACATCAGAGTAGCAGGGTGCTGACATCTTCTTGAAGTAGCTCTGCCAAGTGCCCACCCAGCATCTATTTCCGAGTGACTGGTACTTCCTCTCCTCTTTTTATTGTCGTAACTGACTCTGTGGAGTTGGCCAAAACCTACCAAGTGTGGGTGGGAAGATAAACGGTCTCCGGTTCTGTTCAGGGTGGGGGTAACTTACCTTCCATGAGTTTCGCAAAAGGCTCTGGGCATGTAGAGGGAATGGGAAGGGCGAGTTTGTTCATGGCTACACCATAAGCTACCGCTAAGCCGTCGATTCCTCGGAAGGGCACCTCACCGGTCAGTAGCTCCCAAAGCAGCACCCCATAGCTAAGGAGACACAGAAGACAGAGGCCACTTGATAAAGCACAGCTGCAACTTCAATGAAACAGGTCATGCAGCTCTGCGAGTGGTCTGTGGTCCCCCCTACATGTAAGGACACTAATAGAACAGACGTGCTCCCGGGACGTAAAAGGGTGGATGTCAGGCTTACTAGCTAAAAGCAAAACCTCCAGACTCAAACCTCCAGGCACACTTGGATTCAAAGTCTTGTTCCTCAAATTCCTCATCCATAAAGGGCAAATAACACTACCAGTCTGATGAGGCTGCCATGAAATTAAATCAGCATTAAATCAGGGCTCAGCAGCCACGGCTATTCTGTTGTAATAAATTAGGAGCAAAGGTAGATAGCTTCATGAGAATGTGGGGGATTTTTCCATCTTACGAAAAACTTCAGCTTTAGTTATTTATTTTTTTTAGCTTTTAAAAAAGCAGAGAGTTGACCGCACCAGACAACAGCGTCAGTGAGGCCTGACAGAGACCTCTCACTCAAAGAGGTGGCCCAGGCCTGGGGGAGCAGAGCAGCATGTCAGTGCCTGTGTTTCACGGTCCCTGCCCTGCCTTTCCACTGTGCCCGAAGAAATTCATTTCACACACCAGGTGAGTCAGAAGATTGGGAGTACAAAGCTTAGCAGGATAACTATTCCATGACTTCACAAACAGAGCCCAACAAAATCAAGTAGCATTCCATCCTTTTAGGAAGAAGTCAGGGCAAGAAACCACAGGCTATGAAGAGGTGGAAGGTCCTGCTATTTTCAACACAAACCTCCAATTTTTTGTGATACTCATCAGTAGTTTGCAGACAACAAAAGTTCATAAAAAAGGAAAACATCCTTATAAACCCAGCATCTATTTTACCATGGTACCTTGTATGTACAGGTAAATGTAAATGCTTAGTATGTAAATGCTAAGGCATTTACAAACATCATCTTGTATCCTTATAAGAAACATGCAAGATAAGAATTAACATCATTTTGCAAGTAAGGAAAGCAGGTTTTAGAAAAGCGTATTGGCATTTATTTAGGGTACACATGGAGCAAGCCTGAGTGGGACCCTGGACCAACTCTTAATTCGTTATCACTAGAATGCCCTTCTGCCATTTCTTGGTTTGTTTTTCAGGATCTGATTCAAGTGCACTACCAATTATTCATTCATTTTAAACACCTACTTAGTATTTACTAAACACCAAGCTCAGAGCCTGGCACTGGGATACAGGAAAAAAGGTAGATTTTAGCCACAAAGAGATTAATGAGAGGAAAAGAAAAGATGCCAACTAGAATACAGAGGAATGAGTCACAACAGAAAGACCATGAGGGCACAGGGGGGTCAACTAACCAGACCAGGATGGGGGCAGGAAACAGATAAACCTTGATTGCTAAGTCAGTGTTCCAGAGACAGAAATCAGCTCGGACAAAGGCATGGCCTTGACCTCAAAGAAGCATAAGTGGCCTGAAATGGCACCAAAGAAAAGCAGCATGCCAACTAATAAGCCAGGGCATCCCAGGGGACCCCTAAAGATGAACCTCAGAGAGGCTGGGTCAGTCCCGTTGGGTAGAAAAACCTCTTCTGTATTTTGACAGGAAAAAGAAAGCCTAGTAGACAGTGGCAGGCCCGGTCTTGACAAGGTGTTGGATTTTGGCCTGAAGCTGATGAGAACAATTGGACACAGGTGTTACTCAGCTCCCATCTGAGCAGCTTCATATTGTGGTTGTTTGTTTACCAGCCTCAGGGCCCAGAAAGAGCAAGGATGGGAGTTTGTGCTCTGATTCTCATTGCCCAGACTCATATGAAGAGAAGAGATTGTCCTTATGTACACACAAAATAGTTCCTTACACAGCGAGTTGGTGTGTGGGTGGGTGTGGGAACTGGGAATGAGGGCAAGGTCAGAGGGTCCTGCAGGCTGCACTGGGTGCTTGAGAGCAAGTCCCCAATTCCACTAAGAATTGCACTCATGCTTCCTGCCAACCCTTTAATATGACTTAACCCAGATGGTCACCGGGCAGGGTGTCACAGCTTTTACCATGTGACCTCTAAGAACTGAGCACTGCTGACTAGGTTCTCAGCTTAGAGCAGCTCTCATCTTGGATTGCCTGCTCTTGGCATTAACATCCACCTTCACCCTGAGGAACAAACACTTAGGGTCCCAAAGAGCCCCCTTCCTTCATCTGGGCAGAAAAGATTGGGGCCCAAACCTAACTACCTGGAAAGCCAGCAGAGCACGTCACAGACCCAAGGGCATCCTGCACGGCCTGCACGGCCTGCACACCAAGGCCACTGAGAGGCAGGAGCCAGAGAATCTGCCCCTGCAGCTGCAATTAGGGCTGCTCTGCTCTGACCTGGCTGCTTCTGTGTTCACCTGCATTCCATTCCCGGTGGAGGGCTCGCCAACGAAGAGAAGTGGGAGAACTGCTAGAGTGAAACGCCTGCATCTCACTTACAGCGGTGTGACCTTGGGAACAGACTCTCTGAATCTCAGTTTTCTCACCTTTGCCACAAAGCTAGCAATACCCACACCTTGCAAAGTGGCAAGGGATAAATAACAATAACTACTCCTCATCTAGAAGTTACCCCCAGAGGCTAGTAAACTCATGTGTCTCCCCTTGGAAAGGGCCTGAAAGGAGAAAGTGTGTGTGTGGGGGGTGGGGGTGTGGGGAGGGTGTTTAGGAAGAGGCCACAGAGCTGGTGAGTGCTGCTGAGGGACACCAACACTCAGGAAAGAAGCGGAAGATGGCTTGCTGGGGGTGACTATAGCCAAACTGTCCACTGTTCCCACCAAGAAATGAATCTTGTTGTGCCCTTGGCAGGAGTTGATTCTAAGAAGGGAATGCAGGGTACACATGCCGGTCGGGGCTGAGCCCCAGGATACGTGAGCAGTCAGCTTGATTTACCTTGTACTGACCCTACTCCGTTGCCCACCCAGGATTGAGAGACGGTCAGGAGGCCCATTCAAGACAGCCTAGAAGGACCAGCTCAGCTAGAACACTGCCTCAGAGTGCCTCCACCATCAGAGAACCGGCTCCTACTGATTTCCCAAGAGCTCTCACTGCCTAACCCAAACCCAGGGAATTCCCCTTGTGTCGATAATTAACCACATCCAGAGGTGCGACATCCTCTCAACAGTCTGGCAGGGTTGGGGGGGCAGGTACTTTATATGTTCCAAGTGAGGAAAAGCCTCAGAGGGGATAGTAAAAACCCTTCCCCACTGCAATTCCACACCTGAGCTGGGCCAGACTCTTTCCCCTTCACCTCAGTCATCTCCAAATGCACCTTCTGAAAGACGTGTTCACAAGAACGGGCTCCTGTACTTGGTCACTGGCTGTGGCCCCACATTCCAGGAACTACACTGACTTGTTTAATAATCTTTGGCAATGTAGTTGAACTACCGTGTATGAAAACACTTTGCGAGTTGTAAGGAAATATACAATCTTTCTTCCTGTTGTTGGTAACCAGACCCTCATTTAAAATGATGTTGCATTTATTGACATATATGTAACATATACATTAATGTATGCATTTACATAATAAACATTTACTAGTCTGGAATTATGTTCATGCTATACTATATCAAAAAAGCAGCTCACAAAACAGAACGATGCCATTTGAAGGGCTGGGTAAATGAGCCTGTGAACAGGAATAAATGCCCCAAAATACCAATATAGCTTATCTTTAGAAGTAAGTTTTGGATGATTTTATTTTTCCTTTTTCTTTTCTTTTTCCTTTTTCTGTTTATCCATCAGGTGTAACCTTTTTCTATGGTGCACATATTAACTACTGTCAATTCAAAAACTTAAACTGATTAACAAAATGCCTCCACTTCACCCCACACACATCAAGCAGTCACAACACGATGGCGGTGTCTCCTGCACCCACTGCTGTCCCTGCACAGCACAGCAAGAGGGGCGAGTTCATCAATGACTCTTCCCGAGGCAGTAGGAAATCAAGCAGAGCGGGAGACTCATGCGGTTGGTTCTTGCTTTATAATCTTACCCCCCATCCAGCATGTGGAGGAGCCCCAGAGAACAATAATCCAAGAGCAGTGAGGCCCAGTGAGCTGGGCCTCAGCCCCTGGCAACAGCAGTCCCAGCCCCAGCCCCCAGCAGAGTTCCAGGAAGGGTGGGGTGAGACTCAGGCTTAGAGTCCTGCACAGAGTAAGCATTCAACAAACATTTCTTGAAAAAGTCAGTCCAGGAACCAGCTTCTTCCTGAATTCCTAGACATGTTTTTGCTCTTTCTGGGACATCCTCCTGGGCTCGTGGCAGGGCAGGCCAAGTACTCAGAAAAGGCTGCCCTAAGTGCGGGAACAGGAGTACAGAGATGGTGAGATGGCTGCAAACACAGGGTTTCAAGAGAGACACTCCTAATTCTAGTACCATCTTTACCTCTGCCACCTGTGTGAATGCAGGTACCTAAGCCTCAAGTACTTCACCTGTAAGATGGAAATAATACTATCTACATTTGGATTCTTGTGAGGAATAAATGAGATAAAAGATGCATGGTGTTCAGCACAGATCCCAGCCCTTAAGCATCTGTGGGTGGTGAATACTGTTACCAGCGTATGTGTGTGTGTGTAGCAATGAGAGAAGTGGGCACATTATTCTTCTCTGGTAAAGGTGTTAGATCATGTGGAGCCACTAAGATGAGTGGGAAGGAGGGATTAAAGGCTCATTTAATGGATTTAATAAGTTGTGTCCAAAAAGAAAATACTGCAGCCAGGAAGCTAAGAGAGCAGAGTGAATTATGTTTTCAAACCACATTCATTAACCAAGCTGAATCAGAGCAGACCATGAAACAATTTCCAAGACACCTCATCCAAAGTGCTGCTGATTTGGAGTTTACCTCCAAGCTACTCCCTTCAGAGGGGAGAACAACATCGTCAGAGGCCTCTCTCATCAGAGGCTCCCACGCCTGCTTTCAGGACCTGTGGCTGAAGAGAAAGACTGGATGTCATTCTGGGAATAAGGACGCTTTGGGTAAAAGTTGAAGAGTCCGGCCTTATTCCTTCCATGATGGATAAATCCCTATGATGTCCTTCCCTTTCCTTGCCTGTCATGTCTTTTTTCTTTTTTTTTTTTCAAAAAGATTTATTTATGCATATAGGAAGTGGGGTATAGGCCAGAGGTGTGGAGGGTGAGAGGATTCACCAGGGACAGAACGGGGAACAGAACAGGCAGACTGACTGAAACACAATGCTGAGGGGAGCAGCAGGAGAGAAAGGAGAGGTCTGCTGCACCATGTGGGTAGCTCCCTGGGCAGAGCTTGAATTCGTGCTGCAGTGGCTGGCGATAGCTTCATAGGTTGCATCTTAACCCCTTGACAGGTCCCCTTGCCGGTCATTTCTGTGATGAGAAGATACTTAATTAGGCATTTGGGCTTTCCCTCCCCACTAAATGTGTCAGAATACCAGAGGCAACTCTAAATCACTGTAGCAGCAGAAACCTTTGGGATGGAGGACAATAAAACCAGATTCAATTCAGGGCCCAGAGGGAAGAAAAAACTAGCAGAAATATAGGAAATAGAAAATAATCATGTTGCAAAAAGGCACAGCCTCCCATGAATAAAGGTAAGATAAAATTGAGTGTAGCCAATGGCTGATTTCCTCCCATTCTCCCCTTCTTCCATAGTAAGAGTTTCAGCTGTGTGTGCACAGCTAGGGCCTACATATTTCTGACTTCTTGCAACCAGGTACTCATATAACCTAGAGCAGGCAATGGCTCTACACAGAGGAGATGCACACAACTTCCTCATCTCAAACATCAAGTTGCTTGCCCTCTCCCCCCCACTTTTTTTTTTTTTTTCAGAATATAATGCCGAAATCACAGTCACTTGGGCCTAACCATTCAGCCAAGAACAATGCACTGAGGAAACCTGAAGAAACCTGGGTTCCTAATGATTTCACATTAGGAAAATGTGAAAAAGAAGCAGGTTTCTACCTTATTTAAGCTATCCTATCTGCTGATCTCTTTGTAAGCTTAGTGTAAGTAATATATTAACTACCTCAGTAGACTGTAGTTAAGCAATGAAAGTGCTTAGAAGAAGGTTGAAGCATATGAGACTACTGTTTTGTAGATCAAAAATAGTTGAATATCAACATACAATTCAACCTAAGAAGGTCTTGTCAGATATTTTAAGGAAAGCTCTTTTTCACAATAGTTGCCTCACCCTATAATTAACATGCGGTGAAGTAAGATTCAATACACAGAAGCTGCAAAATGTCACGGAAAAAAATTAAAGGAGGCCTGAATAAAAGGAAAGATACCCTATGTTTGTGACTTTTAATATATTAAGGTGCCAATACTCGCCATGGTGATCTATAGCTTTAATACAATCCTTATAAAAATTCCAGTTGCCTGTTTTTCAGAAATAATCCTAAAATTCATATGGAAATGTAAGGGACCCAGATATCCAAAAAATCTCAAAAAAAAAAAAAAAAAAAGAACAGAGTTGGAAGATCACAGTACCTAATTTCAAATTTTACCATAAAGGTAGAGGTTGGTACAGCATAAGGGAAGATATCTAGGTGAATGGAATAGAAATGAGAGTCCAGAAATAAACATTGATATTGTGGTAATTTGTTTTTGACAAGGGTAACAATTCATTGAGGAAATAATAGCCTTTTCAAGCCTTTCAACTAGATAGCCATGGGCAAAAGAATGAAGTGGGACTCCCTACCTCACACGACAAAACTTAGATTAAAAACTTAGAAATAAATGGAATAAATCATTATGGCCTCAGATTAGGCAATGGTCTCAAATATGATATTAAAGCACAAGTAATCAAGGAAAAAAGATAGTAAATTGGATTCATCAAAACTAAAAATGTTTGTGGTTCAAAGGATATCATCAATAAGTTTTTTTCAAAAATCCAGAAAATAGAAGAAAACATTTTCAAATTGTATATCTGATTAGGGACTTGTATCCAGAATATATAAAGAACTCTTTCAACGTAAAGTTAAAAGTACATTTACTCTAATAACCGTGAAATTGGTGAAGGATTTGGACATTTATTCAGAGAAGATATACAAATGGTCAATAAGCACATGGAAAGATGTTCAGCATCATTAGTCACTATAAAAATACAAATAAAAACCACAATGAAATACCACTTCATATCTACTAGGATGGTTATAATAAAAAGGCAATGACAAGTTTTAACAGAATATGAAAAAACTGGAATCATCGTAAGTTACTAATGGGATAGTGAAATAGTATGACCATAGTAAAAGAAATTTAGCAGTTCCTCAAAAAGTTAAACATAGAATTACTGCATGAATCAGCAATCCCACTCCTAAATACGTACCCAAGAGAATTAAAAATATATGTTCACAGAAAATCTTAAACAAAAATGTCCATTATTGTTCATAATAAAAAGAAGCATTATTCATCATACCCAAAAAGTAGAAAAAAAGTAGAAAAAAGGGGCCTCCCCTGGTGGCGCAGCAGTTGACTGCTGGGCTGCGAAGCTGCCCGCAGCCTCGGCAGTGCTGATCCCCAGCCACCAGCGAGGGTCCCACATGGCGTGACAGACCTCTCCTGCCGCGCCCGCTGCTCCCCTCAGCAGTGTATTTCGTCAGTCTACCTGTTCTGTTCCCCGCTCTGGCTCTGGTGAATTCTCTCACCCTCCTGTGCTTCTGACTGTACCCAGTGCTTGTATAAATAAATAAAATAAATCTTTAAAAAAAAAGTAGAAAAAAAGTAGGAAAATACCAAATGTCCATCAAATGATGACTGGATCAACAAATAGTGGTCTATCTATATAATGGAATATTATTCAGCCACAAAAAATGAAGTTCTAATACAAGCTATAACATGAATGAATCTTGAAAATGTTACGCTATTGAAAGAATCCAGTGACAAAAGACCATCTACTGTAAAATATCTGGCATAAAATATCCAGAATAGGCAAATCTATAGATACAGAAAGTAAATTAATAGAGAGATTAAGCAATAACTGCTGATAGATTTCTTCCTTGTGTTTTTTTTTTGGGGGGGTGGAGAGGGTTCTGGCTTTCTTTTTTTGGTTGATAAAAAATATTCCATAAATAGATAGTGGTTATAGTGGCAGAATGGTGGCCCTAAAAAGATAAGTCCACATCCTTATATAATCCTTATATAAAACAGAATATCCCCTAGAGTCTCTGGAGTGTGGTCCCACTGACACCAATTTCAGACTTTTGGCCCCCAGATAATGAATTTCTATTGTTTTAATCCATCAGGTTTGCTATAATTTGTTATAGCAGGTCTAGTCCTAGGAAACTAATACTACTAGTGACTGGTGCAAACACTTTGTAAATGCACTAAAAACCATTAACATACATTTTAAAGTGTGAACTTTTTGGTGTGTGACTGATTCCAATAATGCTGTTATGTTTTGTAGTGTATGTGTTTTATACATACAACATATGTTACATATAGGAATGTATATGTATACACACATAAACACACAACTATATATATACAGAAGCTCACTGAAAAAACACATCAGGAAGCAACAATGTGACAGACTGAAGTACCATGATAACCTACTCTCCTTTTGTATCAAAGAGATGCTACTTCCTGTGAAAACGTATACTCTGGAGATGGTCATCCTTCCACTTGTAGGGACAAAAATTGTTTGGATCCCTGTCCTTGTGACCTCTCAGGCTGACATTCACTAGGGTCAAATTGGTCTAATTTTTGACTGTAGATCTGGGTACATGCTTGGGATCATTTTTTCCTATTTCTCTTTCAATGTTCAACAAGTACATCCTTGACTAAAAGGCTAAATGAATAACTGGGAAAGAATCTCCAGCCCACCAAGAAAAATGAGATAGCATAAAGAACACTTGTCAGTTCAGGAGCTTACAGAGTGGACAAGTCCAGCAGTAACAGCCACTGCAACTAAGCAGGTCAGGTTGACCCTGAGGAATGTCTCTGAAGTGCTGAGGCTCTCACTATGCCACAGGTCAGACAGGAATACATATGGTACCTGGAATCTACCTGGAATCTTCCTTTTCTAGGAAGTCACCAGCACAAAGTGGCCTGCATAGAGGTGGTATTTGCCACAACACTGGAGGGATTTTTGGTAGATGACAGCATTGGAAACAGTCCCTTGGCAATGTGGAATTGGTGTAGATTGCTCTGATGGAGTCACTTAGACCTACTTGGGTGCTGGGATATTATGCAACCTCAAATCTCCAAATCCTGAAGCATGCGTGAGGCCAAAATTGACCTGGGGACCATGGACCCTGTACCTCTGAACCTTACCTCCACACATCACTGCCTTTGGAAAACATGGAGGCACGAATGACTTCGGGTGCCATCCAGGCATAGGTCCCTGCTGCGCTCATCTTGGTGGTTCGGTGCCATTCCCGAGCCAGGCCAAAATCAGTGATCTTCAGAATCTTGTTGCTCAGGTCTCCATTCTCCACTTTCTGGAGGATCAAAACTGGGCGAGGAAAGGAATACAGAAGAAACCAGAGAGTGGCATTAGTCATAGGGAAATCAGGAAACATGGAGCCCTCCTGCCATTCCCTTGTTCTCTCCTGCAGGATCCACCATACAGCTACCATGGGTTGATGGCAGGAGCCATCATTTCTAAAACAGCTTTCATTCATCCATTTGGTGTCTAGTATTTTATATGCATTATCTTGAACCCTCACAACCACCTTATGTGGTCAGTATTACTGCCACCTGCATTTTACAGATAAGAAAATTGAGATGCAGCACCAATAAATAAATTTCCTAAGGCCATCCAGCTCATCGGCCAGGACTGAAATACAGGAGCCTGACTCAAAAGCCTTCTTTGCTAACCTTAGTACCATTTGGCTCATTCATACCTGAGGTCATGGCTAACCAATCCGAGGAACAGCTACCTCAGCTTCCTGTCTGCCAGGGAATCCTGAGCTATCACCACTCTCAGGCCACAAGATATAGACAGGTGGACACTGGATTTTCAGAGTTTCAATGTCTGGACAGTTTCCATGAACTGCTCCAAGTTAATTTAGTTAAGTTCTTAAGAAAGCATATCTTCTGGGCACAGCTTTTACCTCTTAACCCAGGGACTAACACTGAAAAGTTTGGGAGGTCAGAGAGCACACACATGTTCACACTCATGATGTTCTCTGTGAACATGGCCCAGGAAGGAGGAACTAGTACACTGAACTACTTATACTCTAGACTCTGTTTCCCAAGTTCTAATACCAAGCAATGCAGTGCGGGAGCCATCTTGGCTTTCCTCAGACAAAGGCTCACCCACATGATTGTTCCAGGGATGAGCACGCCTTTGTGGAAACGAAGCTACCTAGAAAGAACAAAAATGCTAAGCCAAGGATCTGTCCTAGTGGGGAGCTAACAAGCTCTAGGGCACGTGAAAGCCAACCTTTTTACAAGTAGAGTGGTTTCCAATGTCCTGTGCAAGCACAACCTCTTGAGGATCAGATGCAGAGCCACCTAGAATCTGTCCACAGGATTTTAAAGATTCTCTCTCTCTCCATCCCTGCCATTCAAGTCCAAATGGAGAATGTGGGGAAAGAACTTGACTGAAGGGCCTCCCTGGTGGCGCAGCGTTTGAGTGCTGGGTTGCGAAGCTGCCCGCAGCCTCTGCAACGCTGGTTCGATCCCCAGCTGCTCCCCAGCCACCAGAGGAGGGTCCCACATGGCGCGCAGACCTCTCCTGCCGCCCACTGCTCCCCTCAGCAGTGCACTTCAGTCCTTCGGCCTGCTCTGCTCCCTGCTCTGGCTCTGGTGAATTCTCTCACCCTCCCGTGCTTCTGACTGTACCCAGTGCTTGTATAAATAAATAAATAAATCTTTAAAAAAAAAAAAAAAAAAAAGAACTTGACTGAAGACAAAATTACAACTAGAAAAATATTGACTCCCTTCCATCCAGCCTACTCTGTCAAGTAAACAGTGAAAAAACACAAACTCGTTCTGAGCCTTATGCATGCTGGGTTATACTCCCTTAGTTGGTTCTCCAACTACCTCCACTAAGGGGAACTCTTAATGGAGACTTACTTTACCTCTCTTAGAGGTATTTGTATTTTAAGCTTCTGAGTTCAAAATCTTTCAATATCTAAAGAAAAGATCTGTGATGTTGGTACTTTGGGGGGGGGGGAGTCACTTTAGGAAAAGGCCTTAGGCAAGTCCCTCAAGTGTACTTTGCCCTTCTTGTCCTCCCATCCCCAAATGTCCATAGAATTATTGCATACTGAAAGGACCTGGGTCAAAAACATCATGTCCCACACGCTTCTCAGACCAGCAATAAAGAGGGATTACAAGCAGGCATAGAGCTGAGAGGCACAAAAGAAAACAATGTCAGCCACACCCTCAATCTAATGGGCTAGACTCCTTCCTCCACACCCTTTCCCCAACTCCCCAGATACCTCGCTTCCCACTCCAAGCTTCCAGCATCCTTAATGGGTCCAGGCCTCAGAATGCTTGAGCAGAGTTTTGAAAATAAACAAGAAGACTTACCTTTCCCTAGCTCATCTAATAGCAAAAATCTTTCCAGATTCTTCTGAAACCTCTTTCCCCTCTCCTTAGGCAAAGATAACAGACAAAAATACACTCAGATTGCTGGGCAAGTGGCACTAAACCCACTGTGCCTTCTGTAGAGGTGGCCTCCAGCTGCTGATCACTTCTATTGCCCTCATCCTTAAAACAAATTCAAAGTGAGCCCTTCTCCTTGCCTATACAGTGGGGTTCAGTCCCTGGGGCAGGGTACATGGGAAGGAGGGCAACAGTTTCATAACACTATATATGAAGCCAGCTGAGCGTCCTCAGATTCCATCTAACCTCAAACATGCACCCCAATAGGCAGGCTCCTGAAGGCATCTGAATTAGAAATCTTTGGCCTGAGGTCCTGCCCTTTGCAAAGAGAGGCTATAATATAAAGTAGCCAGTAGCAATCCTGGCAGGTGGTTACAGCCAATGATTCTTAACATGGTGTCCTGAAATATTAGTATATTCCAAGCCTCTATTACAATTGATAATTATGCTAATAAAACTTGCAAAAGTTTTAAATTTTTGGTAGTTTTTTTTATTGAGATGAAATTCACACAACAACAACAAAAAAAGAAATTCACACAACATAAAATTAACCATTTTAAAGTCAACAATTCAATGGCATTTAGTGCAACCACCATCTCTATCTAGTTCTACAACATTTTTGTCACCTCAAAGGAAACATCATTAATCCATTATTCCCCAGTCCTCTCTCCCCCCCAGCCCCAGACACCCACCAAACTGCCTTTTATCTCTGTGGACTTACTATTCTGATACATTTACACAGATCATATGACAGTGACACATCTAGCTGTTTCACTTGGCATAATATTTTCTAGGTGCACCCTCCTTATAGTCATGCGTCACAATGACAGGGATGTGTTGGAGAAATGTGTTGCTAGGCAATTGTGCTGTTGTGTGCCCATCATAGAGTGTAATTACACGGACGTAGATGGCGTAGGTCACTACACACCTAAGCTGTGTGGTAGAGGCTGAGACCATCCTTGTACAGGTCATCACTGACCGCACATCCAAGGAACACATGACTGTCAAACTTGCATCATCACCTCATTCCTTTTACTGGCTGAATTGTATTCCCATATATGATTATTACACCACAAGGTGTTTGTCCATTAAGAGACATGGAGGGGGGGCCTCCCCTGGTGGTGTAGCGGTTGAGCACTGGGCTGCGAAGCTGCCCGCAGCCTCTGCAGCACCGGTTCAATCCCTGGCCACCGGCGAGGGTCCCACATGGCGCAGCAGACCTCTCCTGCTGCGCCCACTGCTCCCCTCAGCAGTGTATTTCATCAGTCTGTCTGTTCTGTTCCCCGCTCTGGTTCTGGTGAATTCTCTCACCCTCCCGCCCGTCTGACTGTACCACCCAGTGCTTGTATAAATAAATAAATAAATCTTTAAAAAAAATAGAGAGACATGGAGGGGGGGCCTCCCCGGGTGGCGCAGGCAGTTGAGCGCCACACTGTGAGGCTGTCCGCAGTCTCTGCAGCGCTGGTTTGATCCCACATGGCGCGGCAGACCTCTCCTGTGTCGTCCGCTGCTCCCCTCAGCAGTGTATTTCAGTCAGTCTGCCTGTTCTGTTCCCCACTCTGTTTCTGGTGAATCCTCTCACCCTCCTGCATGTCTGGCCTGTACCCCGGTTGTTGTATGCATGAATAAATAAATATTAAAAAAAAAGACACATCAGGGTTGTTGCCAAGCATTGGCTATTGTGAATAGTGCAGCTCTGAACATGTGTGTACATACGTTTGAGTACTTGTTTTCAATTCTTTTGGGTACATACTGAGGAGTGGAATTATTATTTATATGGTAATTCTATGCATAACATCTGCATAGCCACTGAACCATTTTACATTCCCATCAGAATGTATAAGGGTTTCAGTTTCTCCACATCCACTTGTTATTTTCCTTTTCCAGTTTTTTATTTATAGCCACTCTAGTGGATATTAAGTGGCAGCTCATTATGGTTTTGATTAGCATATCCCTAATGACAAATAATAGCAGGCATCTTTTCATGAGCTGTTTGGTCATTTGTATTTTGTCTTTGGAGAAATGGTTTGCTTTTTACTATTGAGTTATAAGAGTTCTTTTTTTTTTTTTTTCAAGTTTTGGATATTTATTAATCAGTGTAAGACCCAAAACAACACACCAATGATTTTGTGCATATAAGGGGGGAAATATTTCCTGGTTAAGCAAGTATCATGCAGGTTTCTAAAAGACCTTCATTTTAAACAGTTTAATAATAAAATGTTTCACTTAAAAGTCTGGACCTTCCTTCAGTTTGCTGTAATTTACATTCACTGAGTGGAACTTGTATTGGTCATTGGACCCAGTTTATTCCAGGGTTCTGGGTTATTCTTTCTGTCCCAACCGACATCTGGATTGAACAGAGCCAGACGCATGACATACAGGCTGCTCAGGTATCTCTGGCTCCAATAAATACAAAGGGGGGGGGGGGACAAAGCCAGGATGCTGCTTGGCCTGTCCGAGGATCTGGTGGAGCATGGTTGGGGGAGAGGCACTGGGCTGGGAAGGAGAGGAGAAAAAATCTGCAAGGGCTGGGGCTAAGTGCTATAGGGGTTCTCTGTGTCTTTTGGCTATTAGATGCTTATCAAATATGGATTAGCAAATACATCTTCCCATACTGTAGGCTATCTCTATACTTGATAATGTCCTTTGATGCACAAAAGTCTTTAATTTAGTTAAAGTCCACTTTATCTTTTCTTGCTCATGCTTTTGGTGTAATAGCAAAGAATTCATCACCAAATCCAATTTCATGCATATTTATTTTCTTCTAAGAGTTTCATGGCTACAGTTCTTATATTTAGGCCTTTGATCCATTGTAAGTTTCTAAATATCATATGAAATAGGTGCCTGACTTTATTCTTTTACATATGGAAGTCCAATTTTCCCTAACACCATTAGATT